TGTAGTTATCATTTATTACCAGAAAAATAATCGAAATTTGACATAAATTTCAAAGAACATGAAGCAAAGAGTGGATAAATCTAAACTCTGACCAAACATTTACCAGATAAACATTCCTACATACTTCATAAATATCAAATTCGATGTTTTAAACGTTAGCCCATGGCTCTGTTTTTATTTTGCACCATATATATTTAATACATATTTAACAATATTAAGACTTAGACAAGTCTAATTTTATTTTCATTCTCCAAGTATTTAATTCTATATATAAATTACAATTTATATTACATAAAATATGGTTTATTAAGTGTTTTTTGCAATATGTCCTTTGTCCCTTTGCCAGGTTTTGGAATCTCAGTCAGGAGCGGTTTTAGGTGGGGGCCAACAGGGGCCAGTGTCCCTGTAAAACAGATCCTGGACCTTGTACTGAAAACATCCATCCATTCATCCATTTTCTGTCATGCTTATCCCAAGCAGGGTTGCGAGGGTTGCTGGTGCCTATCTCCAGCCGTCTACGGGCGAGAGGCGGGGTCACCCTGGACGGGTCGCCAGTCCATCGCTGCGCAACACAGAGACAAACAACCATTCATGCACACACTCACACCTAAGGAGAATTTAGAGAAGCCAATTAACCTAACAGTCATGTTTTTGGACTGTTGGAGGAAGCCGGAGTACCCGGAGAGAACCGACACATGCTCAGCGAGAACATGCAAACTCCATGTAGAAAGACCCCGGGCCAGGAATCAAACCCCAAACCCTCTTGCTGCAAGGCAGCAGTGCTACTAACTGTGTCACTGAGCAGCCCTACTGAAAACATAAACTGCCAAAATTTAAATGCTTTCTTTCCCCCCAGAAATAGATGTATATTACCTTGATAGAAGCAGGTATTTAAGACAATTTGCAGATAGAATTTATTTTGTAAACATAAGTTTCAATAAAGAATAATGACTATTATTTCATTTCAAGTGCATAGTGTCTACTTATTTTGTCCTCTTTCCTTTGTTAGATTATTTTAATTACTTGCTCAAATTAAAGCTATAGTTTCAAGAAACTTTTACTGTTTTTGATAGTTTGTTTTGCAGTGTAACACTAAATGGGTTTGTTATTATGGTATGCACTGAAAAAGAGACCCTTGTTGATTTGTCAGCAAATTATTATTCAATTTTTACAATTTATTGACTGATAATATTCTTTTTTTCTGTTCTTTCATTGTTTGCCCCCATGAACAGCCACTGCTCTCAGGCCCTCATAAGACTAAAATTTAATTTGATTCAATAATAACTTTATTGACATATGGTTTAGAAATGTCTTATTTTAATGAAAAATACATTGTGCTTTAAATTTATATTAGTATTCTATTTATATATAAAATACTAAAAATAAAAAAGGGATTACTGTCATTTCCACTATAAAATGTAACCTGTAACTTTTTTTTAAAACCTTTGTGAACTTAAAACCATATCAGCTTTCATGTGACAGGAGCGCTAATGGTAGGAGCGCAGTTAGCTCCATGAAAGAAAGGGAAACATGAAAAAATAAATAAATAAATCAATTAAAGTTTTGCAAAACCAAGACTAGGTTTATTGTCATCATTTCCAAACACCTCATATTTCCTTTGAAAGCACAAATAATGAGAAACATACAATTTCATGTTTTGTATTGTGAGCATATTTAATGTTAACTCTAAAACAGATTAGCATGCTATGTCATGGGATTTTAAAATAGATGCTAAAATATGTCATTTTCACAACAGTCATTTCCATCACTATATTTAATGAAATATCTAGAAATTATATTTCTATAATTTAATTACAAAAACTATCAGTTAATGCTTCGACACATTTTGTGTCAAACCAAATTAAAATATTTCTAAAAATATGTGTTAGAATCACATGATACAATCAGTAATCATACCCACTGCATATCTCCTTGGTTCATAAGAATGTTGCTTGCTTTCCTATTTGTTCATCCAACTTAGATTTTCAAATTTCTATGGAGATTATCATAAAGAAAATGAAGGGTTTAAATGTTGCATGCACCTCTGGCTGGAAAGAACCCATTATGTCATCTAGAAATATTTGTTGGAGAAAGCAGTGACTGAGTTGTTTCCCATTTTGGCTCCACTTTTAGACAAGGAGGAACTCCAGATAAATCATAAAGGAAAATATAGATTACTGACAATAGGCTACAATTGCTTAACTTGAAAATGTTGAGTTGATACCTTACATTTGTTATGAAACAAATGAATAGAAATGAAAAAGAAAGTGTTTGTAAAAAGTGGAGGATTTGGATGAAAATATAGAGATATTTACACCAATGTGTTAAATAAAGTCTATATGCAGTAGAATCAGGGGAAATAAAAAAAAAATTAAGAAAATTTTTACTGACTTTGTTGGTGTCCATCACTGTTGTGTAGGACCCTCTCTT